TGGCGGGGCGGGCGGCGCTGACGGCGTTTGTTCCCGCCGGCGCAGGCTCGCTCTGGCGCTACGTGCGAGCCAGCATGACCCTCTCGGGGTACCTCCCGCCCCTCTGCGACCCCAAGGACGGCAACTTGCTGATGGACGGGGGTTACATCAACAACCTGCCAGGCAAGTAGCGGCGCCGCCACCGCCGGCGCCGGCGCCGCGAGCGGCGGTTCCTTCCCCCCAAAACCGCACCGGTGGGCGTGGCCCCCTCGAGGTGGGATCTCCAGCGGATGGATGGAGGGATGGATGGATGGAGGTGTCGGAGTTGGGCTCGTCTTGGCTCGGTTTGGAGGTTTCTCCGCCGTGGGGGGTTTCGTTGCCGGGCGTCGGCTCAAGGAGTGTCTGTCCGTCTGTCTCTTGGGGTTCTCCGTCTCAGGTGGCTTCCCAGGGCATCTCCATGTGTTTTCACGTGCTGGATGAATCCATCCATCTGTCTTCCATCCTCTCTTGGGGTTCTACATCTCAGGTGGCTTCCCAGGGCATCTCCATGTGTTTTCACATGCAGGATGAATCCATCCATCCATCCATCCATCCATCCATCCATCCATTCATCCATCATCTCTTCATGTTCTACATGTTTCCTGAAGTGTAGGATGAATCCATCCATCCGTCTTCCATCCTCTCTTGGGGTTCTCCATCTCAGGTGGCTTCCCAGGGCATCTCCATGTGTTTTCACGTGCAGGATGAATCCATCCATCCATCCATCCATCCATCTTCTGTCATCTCTTGATGTCTTCCATCTCAGGTGGTTTCCATCCATCTTCCATCGTCTCTTGATGTTCTCCATGTTCAGATGGTTTCCCAGGGCATCTCCGTGTTTCTTCACGTGCAGGATGAATCCATCCATCCGTCTTCCATCCTCTCTTGGTGTCCTTCATGCCAGGTGCCTTCCCAGGGCTTCTTCCCGTGCAGGATGCACCCATCCGTCCTCCATCACCTCTCGATGTTCTCCATGATCAGATGATTTCACGTGCTTTCACATTCAGGATGTATCCGTCCATCTTCCACCATCCCTTGGGATCCTCCCATCCCAGGTGGACATCCACTCTTGATGTCCTCAGTGCTGATCATCCTTCTGGGGCATCTTCATCCCCCTTGACCTGCTGGAAGAGCCACAGTCTTGTGTCACCTCCTGGTGTTGGCACCAGGTGGTTTCCCAGATGATTTTTGTCCTTCACGTCCCTCCATCTCGTGCCATCCTTGGCCCTGGGTGTCCTCCCGGAGCATCCTCACCCTCCTTCCACCCTTCCCCACCCTCTCCTGGTGTCATCTCTTGAAGTCCTCAGCACCAGACGTCCTCCTGGAGCGTCTCCATCCTCCTTGATGTGCCAACGACCTTCCTCCATCCTTCATCATCGTCATCATCCCTTGATGTCCTCAGCACCTGGAGCATCTCCATCCTTCTCCATCCTCTTCCATGAGCAAGCCCTCTCCAAACACCTGACGGTCTCCTGGTGTCACTGGATGTCCTCCTGGAGCGTCTCCACCCTCCTTCACATGGAAATGACCTTCCTCCATCCTTCATCATCATCATCATCATCCCTTGATGTCCTCAGCACTTGATGTCCTCCTGGAGCATCTCCACCCTCCTTCACATGCCAAGGACTTTCCCCTATCACCTCATGGTGTCCTCACCCCAAATATCCTCCTGGGCCATTCCAAGGACCTTCCTCCATCACCTCCTGGTGCCCTGACCCTGGACATCCTCCTGGACCATTCCAAGGACCTTCCTCCATCACCTCATGGTGTCCTGACCCCAAATGTCCTCCTGGACCATTCCAAGGACCTTCCTCCATCACCTCCTGGTGTCCCTGACCCTGGACATCCTCCTGGACCATTCCAAGGACCTTCCTCCATCACCT